ACAGACGTTGTCCTGTCTACACGTCTTTAATTTGAATAAATTAATATGAAGTTAATATTTGATGAAAATTGTGAATCTAAACCATTCCCAGAACACACAAAAAATTTCATCAAAATCGGTCCAGTCGTTTGAGTAAAGTTCAGTGACATACACACTCACAGAAGAATTATATATATAAAGATTTACGTAAATATAATTATTATCTTAACAAAGTTAACGTATAATAACTTTTAAAGACATTAAAAGCGAATTAAAACTGCACGATGTCACAATCTCGCTAAACGATCTCTTTTTAGGTGCACTTTAGTTATTTGTACAGTTGGAGACTGTGATCCCGATTTATAGCGGAGGGACAACAGCCGGGAACAAAGCGCAGGTATCCCAGTTCGTAGAAGGACTGAAAACTTTGCGAGCGCGTCGCAAAGGATTTTTCCCGGGATATATGTTTGTTGGGGAAACGGTGCTAGTGTTGCATCAAGCAAGGATACGGCTGCCTCATTTATTCTTTACCATAGAGTTTAGAATATACAAACAACAAAATATTTAAGTCCTTTTTTTTCATTTCGAGTTAACAAAGATACATAGGATTATGTGTCGCCAAATTAAAGTGTATTTTGTTACTAACAAGTTTGTGAGTGTTGTGACGTCATCAAGTATAGGTAACGATGTATAGCACTAGCCATATCTTATTTTTTTTTATTATGTCATGTCTATGAATCTCATAGGTCTGTATAACAAATAAGCGGACTGTTTGTGAGTAGGAAAGTTACGAAACGTGCTTCGCTGGCCATATGTCGCACGTCAACCTACGCTGAAGCACCCTTACTGCAACTACCCCCAGCCCCTTCCAGATTATTTTACTACTGTAATTATTTTCTTTCTAATGACCTGTACTCTATTAATATGTACTGTCATGTTTAGAGCAGTTATTTGGACACTAAGGAGACAGTGAATGTAGATTTCTTAAAATAACATTAAGGTTCACTTGACGACTTAATGTGGTAGGTAAATGTTCAATCGAAATATTTCGTAGGATTGAGTTTAAATATGAGGGAAAGATAAGAACTGGCCAGCAACCTTCGTTTAGTCCAGTCTTTCCCAAAGTGGGCGATAACGGCTCTTGTGGGCACTTCAGGTCTCAAGTTGCGGGTTATAGTAAAACTTTCGTTTAGAATTCTCCGTTAATATACATATATAGGTCACAATAATTAATTAATTTTATTTGAAGTTATAGTGGTTTTTAAATATGTGAAAATATGGGGGCGCTAAAAAAATATTTATTCTCAAAGTGGGCAGTAGACAAAATAAGTTTGGGAACCACTGGTTTAGTCGAAGAAGCATCACAAGAAATTTACCGTTTAGTCCAGTGATAGCAAATTATTCCAATCCAATAAGATTGTTAAAATTAAGATACTGTAAAAAAAAATAACGACTTTGTTGAATATTTAGTTAACCATAAGGTAACTAACGATGCCACAACGACTACCTATCTTGTTTTTTTTATGCCTGCAGAAATTGTTACACATATCTGATGACGCAAAGCAGCCGTGAATTCGCAAAACTAACATTAAACAAATGAGCATGCAGATTGTCTTTGTTCTGGTAAACGTGACTTGCCAACTTCTCAACAGCAACAATTATTCTGATAATTTCAGTTATACTGTCGTTGAATTAAAATCCTTAAGGGAAAGGTAATTAGCATACGTAAGAGATACATATTTTTATGACAAAAGTTAGATATCTAAAAAGCTGGTTAATTTAATTTGTTTCTAAATCTTTTTAAAGAACTCTGAGTATGCCTTAGTAATATTGCACACTTCTATTATGCTATCTATGTCTGTTTGTAAGAAATACGAGGAACAAGAAAGGTATTGCTTACACACTGACTCACGTACAGTGAGTTCCTGAGACCAAAATCTCTGTTAAAAACTTTATCTCTGTTTTGTCAAAGGAATGACGATATATACACAGATTTTGGTCTCATAAACCACCGGCTACGACGACATAAAAGAACGTTAAACAATCTTTCTTACAATTTCAGAAAATTAAATTTATACGACTACAATAATCATATAGAAACAGAAAAATAAATCTAATAATAGGTCTATTAAATAGGGGCACTAGAAATTTGTCGTGTATTATATATACAAAGAGAATTTCCCACGCCCCAACCAATCGCATGCGTTGGAGGCGAGGAAAGAAAATATGAAAGATAGCTTGCTGTTGGTACAATTTAGAAGCTGACGCGTATGGGTTTTTTTTTTAAATAACAATGGTAAAGTACTCGATTGTTTGTTTTAAGTTACTCTAAAACTACTGATCTGAAAATTCTTAGACCTAAGAAAGTTAGAAGCTAGCTAGCTGGTTAGAAGGACTTGTAGGTATAAACTAGCAGCCGACCGCGACTCAGACCGCGCGGAATTAAAAAAAATACATATATACTAAGTAGCCTATATGTTCTTCCAGACTATGTATCAAATATTTCATCAAAATACGTTTAGCCGTTCCGGAGGTATCTTCAAACAAACATCCATCCATCTAATTTTTCTCATTTATAATATATATAAATCAGTACAGAACAGTATATTATTAGATGCTGAAGCTCTTTTGGGCAGTTTGAAAATGTTACTTCGAAAAAATCTTTTGAGAAAAACATAATATTCCGGAAAATTTATTTGTGGACATAAATAAATTATTTTTAAAAATTCGTATTTTATAAAAATCGCTTTACGCTTGTGAATTCCGTCACAACCGGTATTCACATCACGCATGTGATAATACCAGAAAATATTCCGGTCACAATGCGAGCCCTGAACAGGGCGTTAGGGCTGCGACCATCGCCACTCGAGCCGCCGAGGCAACCTTAGCACTTCAAGAGCTCAATAAAGTGAAATAATTGTATATCACTTTCACTGTTTTATACTATTCTGATATTTCTCAATCACTTGCCTAAAGATTTAATATTTAAAAAAAGATGCCCAAATTCGTTTGATAATATGCACAGTAAGCTAACATAAAAAAATTAAGGGTAAACTGCATAGTAAATGGCCGTTAGTAGTCAGTTTTATCAGACTTTTATATCGTAAAGTTCGTTCATTCGACTTGCATCGTCCTATTTGCGATGAATAAAAAACGGCGATAAATCCTCGAGACTCATCGCGTTCGAGAGTTGGGAAACATCTCAGGGCGCTGCTAAGTACGGCTTAAAACAAAGCCAGGTATTAAAAACTGATGTTAAGTCGATTCTGAATCGTGGCGAAAGCTCTGCTTTATTTACATTGTGCATTTCCTCTTAGACGAGAGCACATTAACAATTCAACTCTTCGAAATACTTGTTGTTGATGAAAATAAAATGAAGCAAACAATTACCTGCCTTTTTGAATCGTTTTATAGACACACAAGTTTCAAAACGTATTCGTGAAAGCGTTTCTAATTTTAAATATTTGATTTTACCCTACATTTTAGAAAATAAAAGGCATGAACCTAATCCACTCTATGCTTTTCAGCCAGTATTTCGGTCGTATTCTTTGCCGTCCGGTCAAAAGAATAGATGAATATTAAACTTCCAAATTTTTCATTTGGCTTGCTTAGCGTCTCTCAGCGCCGGCTAAGCTCGGCCAGGATATTAAAAGCTGGTATTCGCTTTCAAGGCTGCTGCAAAATAAACTACATACTAAATTATTTTACATACTTTCTCTATAGCACTTACTTATTATACATGGATGAATTGATTAAGCTTTATATATTTGTTTGATTTTTTTCTTCATTTAGACCAGTGGTTCCCAAACTTACTGTCTACTGTCCACTTTGAGAATAAATATTTTTAGCGCCCCCATATTTTCACATATTTAAAAACCACTATAACTTCAAATTAAATTAATTGATTATTGTAATAATATATGTATATTAACGGAGAATTGTAAACGAAACTTTTACTATAACCCGCAACTTGAGACCTGCAGCGCCCACAAGGGGGAGTTATCGCCTACTTTGGGAAAGACTGATTTAGACTATCGCCGCGAATAGACACAAAAGTTATCCGTAGAGCCCTAATTCATTGTCTTTTTGCAAACTTGTTCTCAAGGCTTTATCATTAAAATCTCACCTCGAGTGTTTAGCACGAGACTCTTTTGGGTTCATCAATTTTTCTTCTAGTAATTGGGATTTCAAGTCTCTAGTTTATTTAAATTATTTATCATTAAGGTCGTCAAGTCCCCACCGACTACGGTAAAATAATCTGTATTATTTTTGTGTTCGTGAAACAAGACTAGCAATTGACCGTATTTCTGTCGACGCTCAATTTCTCAATGCACTAAAGTGTATGTATGCAAGCGTGTCTCTGAAATTCGAGCTTAATACCGGAGCCGAGCCTGTATTTGATTTTTGTTAAAAGCCCTTCGCCAGCCTAAAAGCGTGTAGTGTGCTGCGGTCTCCGGCTAACTGGAACTTGTGTTTAGAGAGAATATCCACATTTGATAGGTAGACTGCCGCACTCAGAAACATTAAATGGTCACTGGGAGCCCTTTACTTTTTGAATTGGCCCGGCTCGCCCGGTGAAATGCCACGACCACACAGAAGACAGGCGTCAAGTGTTTCGTCTGATGAGTGTGCGTCCCGGAGGCCTAATTTAGTCCTCTTTCCCTTCCCACCCCTTTTTTATAAGTAAAGGATGGAAAGTGGAAGTGGACTTTCCGGATGAGAGGATGCATGGGAAAGGAAGATATTTTCTTTCTGTGCATCCTCTCCTCCGTAGATTAAAGGTAAGCAACGCATATGCAATTGCGTATGTCTATGGACAATGGTCAAGGAATTAGGTGGCCGCTTGCTCCTTTGCCACCTTATGATATAAAAAAAAACTTTAAGCTTAGTATGAAAGTCTACACTTTTGATTGGTAAATAGCATGAATTTTCTAAACGGTATGTGTTTCTAATTGTGATCTGAAAAATAAGCTAGATATTTAGAGTATTTTTATTTACAATTATTGTTTACACTTAAAAATCTTAATCTAGTTAAATATTGTTCTGTTCCTGTTCCTATTGCATTTCCTATTCCTATTTGTTAATTGTCGTTCATATCTGATTTTATTTGACTAATATCAATGCTATAAGTTATCATTGGTGCAGGATTTGTATTAATATTTTGTATGGGTAAATCCTGAGCAGTTTGAAGTGGAGATAATGGGTTTATTTGATTGTGTATTGACTCCATGTTTGTACTCGGTTGATATGTATTAAATGTTTGGGTTTCGTTGATAGTTGCGTTGTTAATCCTTAAATGTTTCGGTGTAGAAAATCTACGGAGTACATTTAAAATTTCTATCTTAGCTGACAGTCTATCTTCGTCGTCCAGTTTTGATAGTGAAGGTACCAGTGATCTACAAAAATCTCTGACTTCATTTTCCTCTGTCCATGAATAAGATGACTTTGGTTGAATTAAATTTACCATCGGTTCTTGCGTCCTGCGAATTTTATTTGGGACACTTCTAAAAATTGTATATCTTCGTCCACGCCTCTTATTGCTGGTTAATGAATTTTCACTGACTTCTCGTTCGTTATCCATCGTAACAGACGATTTTGATTTAGAATTACTGTCCTTGTTTTGAAACTGTGGAAGCAAAAATAATAGATGCTGAAAATATCTATATTTGGTTTTTTTCTTTAAGCCATTACTGGTAGTTTGTTTATCAGATATTTCTCGTCTAAAATTATCTCTCATATTTCTCCATTTACTTTGTACTTCTTTGGCTGAAAACAATTTTTAACCATTTATTACAATCAAATAAAAACTTTCGTGCTATAAAAAATAAGGACACAGGTACGGTGCCGCTACCCCTAAAAATACTAACATCACGGCTCAGTATTTTATAGTAAAAAGCTTCAACTCTATTGACATTTTGATAGGAACTGAGTTGTTAGTTACAGCCACTAGGCGGTAGGGCACGGCGTGGCGCCACGGCTCCATCACGGCTTTTATCTCACGTTATTTAACGATTGAAAGAGAAATACATAGCAATATGTAATTTACTTATACTTATATATTAGTGAAAATATGAATACCATATTAGTCTTTTAAATAATCAGTATTCATCATCATATCGTTAAGATGATTAACCTTTTTTGTGCTATAATTGTGCTGCACCTATACCACTGACCTTTTAATTCTTTATCTTTCTCGTCGAGGTCGTTCCAGTTTTCCGTAACTTCCTCAGCCACATGTATCCAGTTGGAATACTTCGCTGATCTATCATTATAATTGTCAGCGAACTTATCGTATAGCAATGGTCGTTTTTTAACCGCCGCAATAAGGTCTTCTGGGTCATAGACATCCATTTTACATTCACAATCACAACCTTTTATTCACACGAAATACGACGCGTGTTCGAGCGAGACTGACGCTGCCGCGCGGTTGCCGTGCCGTGCGATGAATAAACGCTTGCGGGAACGAGACAAATGTATGGAGAGAGAGCGCGACAAAACAACGCTGCGCAAAAAACTCGTTTACGCACTAAAGTTTACACACCGCGCGGTCTTTATACGTTACGATATGTCTTGTTCTTAAATGACGAATAATTTGAATACATATCTCTACGCGACTAACTTTTATTTAATATAATTAATGTTTTCTATATTACACTTATTTATGTAACAAAAAAAAATAGGTATTATAATACATCCCCGAACTAAATCATAATATAGGTCGGACATAGGCATTTTTAGGGCTGTCGATTTTTGTTAAAAGCTATGAAGTTTACTAAAAGCCTCAGCAACACAATGACCGCAGCTAACGTGCAAGCAGCTCCGTCTAAAGAATTCACCTATTTCATATATTAAGCATAGAGTATTAACTTTCTAGCTGTTATTTTGGATGAATAATATTCTCTCATGTTGGATAGGGCGATGTTTTCCGCGGTTATTAGTTGCTAATTTATTTGAACTATCGTAATATAAATTAGATTTTTTGTCACAAAGATTACTTTAATGTTATGTATGTCGATTTATTTTCTTATAAGGGTATCACATTCGTTCAAATGTTTTTAAATTGTTTGGGTTCTATATAGAGAAAAATTTTCCTTTTAAATTGCACTCAATTGGTTCCAATATTTGATATTTTGTGAATGCTGTCTGCAGCACTTAAACTATGAATATATCCAGAACCAATATGCTCCATCTGACATGTTTGAGTTTGGAGCAAGCCGCCTCAGATCTCTATATTAAAATTTGCATCGTACAGATCTGCATTGCAAACTCCAGTTTAATGTATTCTAAAATTTTGTTAGCTGGAATGAACTTTGTTTTAATAAAGAAATTTAAATTTAAGTGGAAATTCATAGATATGCAGAGAAATTGAGTTATATAATATTTTTTAATAACTTTACTATTATATAGGTTAGGATATGCAATCCAACCTGAATGTGCGTAGTCCAAGGCGCCGAGATATTTTTTATGCTTATAGTAATTTCTCGCTTATGGTGGTCGACCGTAGGGAGCGGACAATGACTCTCGCTTATAGAGGTTTCTCGCTTATCAAGTTCTCGCTTATGCAGTTTCGAGAATATTATGATATTCCTAATACTACAAATTGGAAAAGTAAAAATCAGTCAAACACAATCGGCCATTTTTTTTAAATAGGTCAGTTATGCAAAATTCAGAATTGATTACTGTAAACACTTACTATACTGTAATGCTCGTGTTACGTCAAAAATGAAATCCACTAGTAAGTGAGGTACACAAATGCACATAATTGTACCCCGCACTATAATCACACGTCCGCTGTTACCGTAACCCATTTGCACCATTCCATAAATCATACTTCGTGTAAATACCACCACGGATACTACTAACTTCAGAAAACAACATTCTATTGCCCTGTTCCCGAATTATGTACAATTGGCTTTAAACGGTAGTCATTTTTATATTACCACGCTTATCGGTAATTTGCATTTTTTTTTATTTTAGCAACGCGAGTAGTTATCGTGTTAGTAAAGTTAATAAAGGTAACGAATTTTACTGCGGATAAATGATGAACTTATATGTAGCTTTCAATATTGACCGGTAGGCTATGGAGATGATATTTTTTAAAAATTTAAAAAGTTATAATTTAGACGTCTTTGAAAATAACATAAGAAGGGAGTTAATTCAGATTTAACTGTTGATTGCGATGTATTGAACGATAGTACATATTATGCTGACCCTCCGTAAGAAAAAAGGAAATATGTTGATTTTAATGTGAGGCTTTAAATTGTTTTTTATTTGCCAGATAAAATAAAGATTATTTTTAACGTTAAAATTTATATTATTTTATTTAAAATTGTCTCAAGTTCGTACTTTCTTAGGTATAACTTGCAAACAGATTTTAAAATGGGATGACAAGTAGCGCATTGCTTTGTGCCACCGCTGAGTGAGTGACTATGCAATTTGATGTCGCTCTTTGTTGTCATTCATTTCAGTTTCGGTTCCGACTGTGATGGATCTGACTAGAAATCTTTCTAGACATTTTATTTTCAATTTCCGATATAATTTTAACATTTTGTTATCTATTTTGCTTCCTTATTATTATAAGTATTAATAAATTAAAAAATATATTTAAAAATAATATTAAGAAAGGGAATTTTGAATGCCTACTTGTATTAGTTACCTTTTTTTACTATAAACATGTGTTATACACAAGATCGTACGTAGAGTCATAACAACCCTCAAATGTTGCGAGTCCCGAAGGCATCAAACTTTTAATTAGACATACTTTGACGTTATATTATTAAGTACACAGGTAACTAACGTGACAGAGTCGTTGTAAAATATGCATTTGTTTTAGATTCAGTCATTTGTTTTAAAATGCAAACGTATAACACTAACTCTGGGTTTTCATAGCCGTATTACTTGTATGAAAACATATTTTTTTCTATTATTTTAAAGAGAGTAAGTTGATTTTATTTTATACTAGATGTCACCCGCGGCTCCCTATGTGCGGAATTAAAAAAACTAAATGAGCAGCTTTTGTGTGCTTCCAGATTATGTGCCATATTTCATCAAGATATATTGAGCCGTTCCGGAGATACCTTCAAACAAACATCCATCCATCCATCTAAACATTCGTTCATTATTAATTCATTTATAATATTAAAGTATAAAGACTTAAGAAAGTTTTAAGACATTAATAGTTAAAAATCTTTAGCGCGAATCGCGCGCTTTCGTTATAAAATCAAGTGTCAGAATGATTAGTGAGGGGACATAAACGTCGACTTTTTAGTAAGGCTAGTGTTGCGCCACACCGGCACAGTGTCGGATTTTCTTCCTAACAGTATAAAGTATGATAACAGTACAGTAAGTACGATATCTTTGGTCAGTGGAAACACACAATATAATGTTGGTTTACAATTTTAAATTATGAAATTGTTTTCTATATGACCTTCAATTACTTAAATGAATAAAAGCGTTGTTTTAAAAAATCAAATTTTCAAATATTCGCAAAGTTTGCTAATTTTATTTTTTAATTACTCTGTGCATTATGAAGAAAAATTCACGATTATAAATTCGGTGGTCCGCTTTATCAACGCGGTAACTCACCACTGGGTTATTAAACTTTGTAACAGGCTGTAAAAGATTTGACAAGGTCCGAGATAAGGAAGTTATAATTGGGTTATCCTGCAATACTTGATAACTTTCAGAGGACAAACCGAGTACAAGGATACTTTGTTATGAAGGACGATTCTCTTTCATACGTCGGATAAGTTTTCCATTAAGGAATCCATTCTCGTGGATATATAAAAAACTTAATTCGTGTAGCCCACCCATCCATCCATCCACATCATATCCATCTAAACATTCGCATTTATAATATTAGTAAGTTAAATAAAAAGCAGCTCTTCAAGGCATACATTCGAAAAAAAATGAATAAATAGTATCCTATGTCCGTCTCCTGGCTCTAAGCTACCTTCTCACCCATTTTCAGCCATATCAGTAAAGCCGTTCTTGAGTTATAAATAGTGTAACTAACACGACTTTCTTTTATATATATAAAAGATATGTTTGTTAAGAGACATAATAACAGTGAAATGCCAATTCAACATAAAATAACACAATATTTTATCATTTTCTACCGCTTTTTACTTACAAAAGAATAGAGATACTAGTAAACAATAAAAATCTGGCCGACTAGGGCTCTCATGGATAGCGCCATCTGGATAGTGCTTTTTAATACAAAAATATAAAAATTTCTAATTAAAGCAAAATAAATCTGATTTTACACATAATACTTTGTTATTGGAACATATTGGAAATTATAGAAAAATTCATTTAGAATTTAAAAATTTTGATTAGTGAGATTCGAAATCGTTTTTCACTAATTATAATTTAACTTAATATTTCCACGTCATGTGTTCTGTGACAATGTTTTATACACTGTGGCATTTCGGGAAAGAAGACGAATGAAACGACAATTGTTTACACTCTAGGCCGTCACAATGGTAACTTTCGTACAAACTTATGCGAGAAAAAAAACCTCATTGGTCCGTCGTCTAACATTTGTGAAACTTTCTATCATTAATCTTAATCGTTACGAAACCAAAGTTTGCTTTAAACCGCATATTATTTTATAATCATCTACTGTAGAGGTGCACTTAAATTTATTAAAAATGTATGCATTAAGAGGGGGCGTGAGGTAACGAAACTTTAATGCATTCCTATGTACATAATGGGGTTCCTTGAAACAATACAAGAACTTGCCTTTCTACATAAATGCTATTACAATAATAAACTGATATAAAACGGCTAAACACTCACGTATTTTCGTCCGGTGGCGGCACCGACTAAACTAAACACCGACACCAACTAAACACGACGAAACTAGTCGCGCAGTAACTGATGAAGGGTCCCCGATGGGCTCGAAACTAGTCGGTACAGCCACCGGACGAATATACGTGAGTGTTTAGCCGTTTTTATATCAGTTTGCTATTACAATAGTAATATTTGGGATTACAAAGGTAATGTTGACCACGCGTTATGTTGCGAATAATGCTCTAAGAATTTGTTACTAGTCCATCCAAACTTGTTTTAAAAAAAAAAACAAATATTATATTATAACATAAAATAAGGGATTTTAATGTTACTAATTACTAATATTATAAATGCGAAAGTTTTTATGGATGTTTGTTTGAAGGTATCTCCGAAACGGTTTATCGGATTTTGATTAAATTTGGCACACATATAGAACATAGTCTGAAAGAGCACATAAGCTATTATACATATTTTTGTGTAATTCCAAGCGGGCGGGGACGCGGGCGATAACTAGTAGTTTAATAAAGTCTTAAACCTTTTTATACCATAATATCATTTAATAAGCAAAATTATTACTTATGTATAACATTTTTAAAAAATAATAC